TTGTGACTATTATTGAATTTTATACTTGGATTGAGTATGAGTTAAAAATGGAGATTCTTACCAATTTCAGTAGTAGGTTAATTCTAATAAATGGATTGGTAAGACACTTCTGTGTAGTAAAGACAGTAATTTATGAGAAAGGGGGAAATTAAGTTATTCCTATGAAGACCCAAAAGGATGATAAAAAGTTGAAACCTTCTACATGAACTTGGGATCTTTACTAAATCAAACCATATATTTATCTTTTGCTTTATTCTGAAACAATAAGCAGCTATTTCTTCCCTTTCATTCTGAACTCATGGAACCATCCAAAAGGCAGTTCATGTGCCCAGCTTTGCTCTAAAGTCACACTCCACTAATGAGCAACAACCAAGAGAATTTTAAAAATATAACTGCATGTTATCATTGAGATAAGCAAAATGTTCTTGGTTTGGGGACATTTTTTAAGAGCAAGGATGCTTTCAGTAAATGAAATTTAAAGGACAGATGGACCAAATTGAAGGATTTTCTGCTGCCCAATAGTGAAAATATAACCAGCATAGAGGAAATGGTAATTATAAGACACCAAAATAAGTTGAGCCTATTGAAAGCCAAGAGTCAATCATGAAGTATGCAATATGACAGATGTACAAACTGTGCTAAATAAAAGGCTTATCATAGCTCCAGAGTTTCTACATAAACTGTTTTCATCAACTCAAAGTGTTTCCTGCACCCGTTTTAACCATCCTCAAAACTGACAGAGTTGATAAACGTAAATGTAAAAAGATATAATTGAAGTTATGTCAGATATAATTATGTGTGTATCTGTGTACATATTACATTGCTAATCTTAAAGTAAAACCGCTTTTAGAATGTAGACAGAATCTCAAAAACTTTAAATCTCACTAAAAAAACAATAAAGACTACAAGAGTCACAACAAGAAGGATGTTTCTTTCATAATAATATCAAGAACTTGTCTTTAACTTGCTCCAGTGCTACTCAATCACTGAATGATAGAAATGTTTGAACTAGGACAGAGAATCTCTCTCTTTTTCTGTAAACAAATAAAGCATGAACAATCACCTGTGATGAGGGTGACTGTGAGAGGCTACGGGCATCGCTGTGGCCAGCTATGGAGCCAGTGTTCCTGAAGAAACAAAACTGTGGTTGTTGAAATGGCTCAAGGTGCCAGAAGTTACTTATGATTGCAGCAT